TAAGTTTACAACTCAAGTCATGCTACACTTCATTTACGTTATCAAAACGAAAAGGTCATTTACCATTTTCAAAAATAAAAAATTCCAAAAGCCAACAAATTTTATTTGTAAAAAAAATTGGAATGACACGTGTTGCGTTTTGGGGTCATTTCCAGTTTTCTAAGTTCGGATGATGGAGACAGACATTGGCAACGCAAAAAACTGTCTTATATAAACTGACACGTGGCGTAGGTTAAATCAGGAGTATTAAGAAAGCTATTATTGGCTAACGTGAGCCTTGTGGGTCCCAAATAAATGTATTTTGACTTTCTAATCTACTGTAAAGATCTGTAAGAACTGATCAGGAATATTTGTCCAAATATACGATGCCCCCGAAACAGCGCGCGATTAACGTCCAGGGAGATGTCGGTTTACGAGCCTATGATGTCGTTAAGTCACGCTCCACTGATATACAAGATATCCAGAATAAAAAAGAATTATAGACAGTTTTTACCGTATGATTTTAAATATGACTTGCGTTATATAATAAATAAAAATAGATTAAAACTTATTTTCCGCCAAAGAAAATTTATCAGTACACGCGCCCAATTTTCAAACTGTGGAAAGCAAGTACCTGGTAAAAAAGGTCGAAACGTGCTACTGGATCCTTGTGGGCCAGACCAACAATTCAGGGTCCCGCGCTTGTAGTTGTTGGTCCGTCGCAGCTTTCGAGAATCTTCTGTTTATTCTTTTTGCCGATGATCATCCAACGGTTCTGATCTAAACCATGTTGGTCGGTTCGGATTGCCTGGTTGGTAAAATCATAATTAAGAGAATAATACATATTTTTTAATATATATTTAAAAAATAAAAATTTAATTTTAAAAAATATACATTTTATCATCTAAATTCGTTTGTAAAATTAATAAACTCTACCAATAATATATCAAATAATTTTTACCACCGAAAGTAAAGTTTTCATTTTTATAAGAATACCTTCATATTTTAAAACACACGTTTTTCCCTCGGTGAGTAATAAATAGGAAGAAAAATATGCAAATAAAAAGGAAAAAACTATAAATTCATTTAACTAAATTCACCAAACTTGAAGCAAAAAAGGTTAGGTTTCTGCAATCCAATGGGCTAGGCCCATGCTAGAAATTAGAAATGGAGCTTGACCCAATTGATGAGGTGCTAACTGGGTCCAGGTTTGTTTTAAAAACCTTTGAAGGAGACATGATAGAAAACTAGAAAAGGACGGTTTGGACTTCAAACTTCGGAGTGCCTAAAAGTTGAAGAAAAATAGACAAGAAAATGACATTGGGGGCTCGTACAACAGCTAATGGAGGTAGGTATATTGGACCCCAGCAATTTGCACCCATTGAACACTGCCTTCCCTCAAGCCTGAAACTGAAACTGAAAGTGATGCAAACCCAAGATTCACTCATTCGTAACTATTTTTGACTTCATAAATTGACAAGCATGAACAAAAAAGATGAGCAAATATGACTGAATATCCTTACAATGATCAGAATCATCTTTTTTTTCCCTTAAAAGTGGGTATTATATATTCTGGAATCTGGAAGTGCTCTACAGGAAGATATGAGATCTTTTGCGCCAAGCAACCTGTAATTCTATTCAAACTTTCAGTCAACTTTCATTCTCTCACATCAGTTTTCAACTGCGGCAAGTTCCCAAGTAGTTCTCCAAAAATGGCTTTGCCTCTGCCATTGATTGTGCCTTTTGTTTTCTTTCATTCTCCAAACTGTATCTTGATAGAGATTATACACTACTTTTTTTTATATATATTTTTTAAGAGTAATATATTTTTGTTATTCATGATAAAGTCAATGGAGGGAAATGTTGATTTGGAGAAATTAAAGATGCATGTGAGGGGCTATAAAAATGAATAATGTTGCTGCAATCAAGCGCTTTCAACGCTTAAAATTTATTATAGGAAATAATTTTTTAAAGATTAATTATGGGCAATAACTGACTTATGTCTCCATAATCAATACCTAATATTCTATGCTATACTCCTATATTGATAGATAACAACATTAGCTAAATTTTAATAACAACAACTTCTTTTTGGATATTGAACCAATAAAATGAAAGATAACATAAATTAATCCAAGTCTTTGACAAATGGGGAACAACAAAATGTCTCATTGTACATACAATAAAGTGGTTAGCAAATAGGGTTTGCAAATAAAAAATGAGAAAAAAGGAAAATATATTTGTATAAGAAAATATTCCTTGAACCAAACATAACTTAAAAATTAAAATTTTGATATTAAACTTAGCCAATGAATCTAAAATCTTTTTACGTATATTTCATTTCGATAGATAATGAAAGAAATTTTTACTGCATCATAATGTTATTTTGCCATTGAATTCTTAAAATTAACTTTTTGAATGAATTGTGATTTTTAATCTTTCCCATATTTTAGAATTAATATTATATCCTTATTAAGAAGCCACCCCAATTTCTCTTGGTGGTTGGGGAATTATTGATCCCAATTTTTATTACTACTATTAATCAATAATTAAGACTCACTAAAAGGTCTTTCGAAAAAAAAAAAAACTGGCTATTAAGGGAAATTAGGCCATATTATATGCATTGTATGGTACACTTTCTATAATTCACCACTCTCAAGTGGAATTCACAACCTAAAAAGATTAAATCAATGGCCTCAATGCAGCCATTTTTTTTAGTACAGATTCCCCTCTTTTCTGTAATTAGAAAATTGGTTTATGTAAAGCTCTTTTGCTTTTAGCAATCAACCAGTAATTGTTTTTCCAGTCTCTGATGCAATGTTGTACAAACATTAGGTGACAAAATTCAGAAGCTGTCTTAAAAAACTATTTCTAATAATTAAACAATCAATAATGTAAAAAGAATACAGTAATTCTCGTTGTCGCTTTCCTTCTTCATAAAAAATAAATCCAAACAAAACTTTTTCTTTTCGTCAAATTTGATTCCTACAATATTTCATTAACATAACTTGTATGGTAACATATGAGACTTTAGAATGAAACCAATAGAAACCAAACAAGGTGATGTGATTTGTTGAAGTATCAGCTAACAGTGTAAGTCAATGGAGATTATGAAAACAGTGTTTCCCCTTGAAATAGATGTGAAATATAATGATTTGATGATGTTGCTAGGCTAGCAAGGACATTTTGTTTTGTTTTGAGTGAGGAATCCGTTTCATTAATGTCCGTAATTAACAGTTTTTTATAGCATTGCTTTCGGCTTTGTTTTTGAGTGTCCTATATATCCCATGGGCTAAAGTCCAATTCATTAGGGACAATAATCAAGGTTGATACTTCCATCATGTTGAGGAAAAAAAAAAAAATGAAAGCATATTCTGATTGAATAGCAAAGTTCTCAACTTTCACACAGATTTCCTGAGTTTTAAATAAAAAACTTAAAAAATAGAAAGAATTAACCTAAACTGAGTTTTTTTTTATATATATATATAAGGTGTAATTTTAAATTTTATGAACGAGATTAAAAAATTAACAGATATTTAATTTATTTTTATTATATTTTAAGAGATATGCACTATTGTGATAATCTGACAGTAAATGGGATACTTTCTCATCTTACAAAACCTAATCATGCCATAAAAACAAATAGTGAAAATGTTAAACTCCAACAAGAACATTTAAATGGGACTAAAATAATGTAACTTCTCATTGGATAGCCACAAACTAACCAACCAATTATATTTTTTTAAAGTTACAATTGTAATTAAATAGTATATTCATATAATTAATTATTATGTTATAATTAAGTTACAATCATTGAATAAACAAATTAAAATAACTAAGCAGTTAAATTTATATAGATGAGATTTAAATTTAAAATCTTAGCATTTTGAGGGCCTCTTCTTTGTTATTAAACTAAAACTTTATTGATAACGAATTAATTATATTTTGGTGAAGATTGAAACGATAAAAATTAAAAACCAGCTTAGTTAGCATTCCGTTATACATGAAGCATTGAAATTACGAATAAAAAGTTTTGAATCCTGAAGTTAAGATTAGGAATTTTGGAATATTTCCCTAGCAATAGTTATTTCCAATTTGGCTTATATTAAACAAAGAAAAGTCGATCATTTTTTTAATGAGTAATTTTAAAAAGAATATTATTATTTTTTTATTTCTTATTCCTGGAATGAACATGACTAAACAAGTTCAAAGTTCAAAGTTCAAAGTTCAATATTCAAAGTGAGATGTTTGCTGAATTTTAAGCCTAATGCTTGTCTTTTAAATACAACTACTTTATATGACAATAAAATGTAAAAAATATATATATCATAATCATAAATAAGCAACTCTTAAAATATTTAACATGATTATAAAAATGCAAAAAAAAAAAAAAACTAAACTAAATTATATAATGAAAATAACAGAAAAAAAATCAGACATGAAATTAAAATGAGACATTACTTCAAATTATTTTTTAAAAGCAACATTAAAATAATAAAAAATATAAAAAGTTAAATTTTAAAATTTTAATAAATATCTTATGAGTTTGAAAAAAAATTAAAATTTATGTACTTAAAAAAAATAAAATTTAGATATACTTTTCAATTTTTGCTTGCTACGAAAATTCAACTAAATTCAGCATTGAATCTTAAATTAAGAAGAATCAAATAGTTTTTATATATATAAAAAAAAGAAGAATCAAATAGTTCATAGGTTAAAGGTTGAAATTTTCCACATTCAAATATTTTCCTTATTTCCTATGAGAATATTAATAAAAAATTAAAAGAAAATCTGAACATTATAAATGTATTTATTTACTATTTACTGTTTAGAGAAACAAAAAAAAAAAAAAAACCCTGATTAACGGAAGTACGTTAGTATAGTAATCAACAGAAAATTACCGTCTCCAACCCCTAAATTTACGACTTCCTTGATTCGCACGAAGGAATATTCCAAATTCAAAAAGTAATCAAATTCAACCACTCGCGTCAAAGGCACGTGCCAGTACTCGCGCCCGAGTCCCATTTGTAGGCCACCGCTCTCCAACGCTGAATCCTACCGGTCCTGGGTGGTGTTTCTAACTTCGTCGGTTCTCTTTAGACAAACGAAAAAGAAAACTGAATTTTTTATTATAGATTAAAAAAAAAAAACTGAAAAAGCAGCGGAAAAATCGGCTTTTTATTTTGTGATCAGATCAAACCAATCTCAACCGTCAGACAAGCCGTCATTTATTTTCTCGACAAACCTTTCTTTTCCTTTATAATCCCTGCCGGCTTTTCTCGCATTCTCTCCAGGTTGTATTATTCTTGTGAAGAGCTAGCAATTCGAAGTTCTCTCTGTAGCTTTTCTTCCTCTGTCGTTTTTTAAGCGACGGATTTATATTTTTGGCCAAATTTCCGGTCGGTGAGTTTCTGAATTCGTAGCTTTTTTTCTTAATGATTGTACCGTTGTTACGAATTTAAGTTTTTTTTTTTAAAGAAAATTCAAGCTTGAGATTTTTTAATAAATGTTTTTAATGAAATCCGGATAAGGTTTTGGATTTTGATTGATTAATTGATTTGAGTTCCGTTTAAATTTATTTCTTTTCCAATTTTAATTTTTTTCAAGCCTCTGTGAATTGATTCTTACGCTTGTTATTTTTTAAAAAAATTTCTTTATTGGCTTTCATTGGTTTTCTTAGCTATGACAGAAAAGATTTACGATTCAATTGTAATTAAATTTTTATTTTTCAGAGCAATTTCGATCATTTTTGTGAAAATTTTAGGATTTTATCTTATTTATAATTGTTAAACTTTCCTTTAGATTGAGATCTGTTGATTTAGCTTTGCAATTTTTTTTTCTTTGTTTTGATTTCTAATAAATGTTGTGAATGAATATGCAGGTTTAAAATGTTTTTGCAGAGAGAACACAGTAAAGCCTAGGCGCTTTTGTCTAGCAACTTCGTTTTTGTTTAGTTTTCTTCTTTCCAGTAAATGGGCTGCTTTCAATCTAGAGTTACAAGACAATACCCAGGACACGAAGACCCTATTTCTCTCGCTTCTCAAACTGCTTGTAAGTTTTTGCAAATTATTACAACTTTTTGTTCACTTCATGTACCCAATTGTCTGATTGGTTTCATGCGGTGAAATAGCAATGGTTTTTTGATCATTGGTTACCATGTCAAGAAACATGGTTTAAGAAGGGGAAATTCCAAATAATTCCTGGTTTTTTTTAATTGATCTGGGACTTTCTTATTTCCTGAAAGATTTGGGTTATTTCAATCAGCTTGGAATATAGATTATTTAGTTTGTTAACTTTGCATATTTTTATGCTGCGAATGTGACTACTTGGTTTTCCTTGTATATGCAGTTAGTGTTAGTGAAGTTGAAGCACTCTTTGAGCTATACAAGAGCATCAGCAGTTCTGTGATTGATGATGGGCTGATTAGCAAGGTACAGTTCTGTGCTTCCTCTGTATCAACCAGGGATTTTGACTTTTCTTTAATGTGGTTTGGGATTAGGATTATTATATCTAATGTCTTGTGTGAGTTTGTGATGTGTTGCATGGTTCTCATGACTTTGCTTTTTGTGTGTCTTCCTCCCTGCCTGCTTCCTCATCATTAGAGGATTTTTTTTTTCCTCACTGTTTCTTATCAGTCAAATTTGAAAATTTGCACGCACAATTTAATGCCCATCTAACTTTTCTGTTGTCTATGCAGGAAGAGTTTCAGTTAGCTCTGTTTAAGAATAAGAAGAAGGAAAACATTTTTGCGAATCGGGTAATGTATTTTGTTCCTTTATATTGTTATAAGAAATTCGATATTACTTAAAGTTTTGAGTTTCATTTTGCTTTGTCTATGTTATATTTGATGGGCTTGTTCCTTTATGTTTATGCAACCGTCTAATACATACAGATCTTTGATTTATTTGATGCTAAGAAGAAGGGAGTCATCGATTTTGGTGACTTTGTTCGAGCTCTCAATGTCTTCCATCCAAATGCCTCACAAGAAGTCAAGATAGATTGTAAGTAAACTGTTGATATAATTTGATTATGTGTTAATCTTCCATCTCATTTCTAAGTTGATGATTTTTACATTGCAGTTGCATTTAAACTTTATGACATGGATGGAACGGGTTTTATCGAGCGTAATGAAGTATGTTGGGCTTTATATGTTTGTTATTTAAATTTCATGCTATTATCTGGATTGACATTGTATCGAGTGTAACTGGTTTTAAAGATTACAGATTGCTGCATATCATCCATATATATTCTTTGATTCAGATACATTTGTACCAAACATCCCTGCAGGCAACTTTATCTTATGTGATTTTGGCAGGTCAAGCAAATGCTGATCGCACTTTTATGTGAATCTGAAATGAAGTTAGCTGATGAAACCATTGAGGCAATACTTGATAAGGTGAGAACTTGTTGTCGTATGGTTATGTAATATAAGTGTTTGTAATACTATTGAAAGTTGTCGATTGTGCCTGCAAATATTTTTGAATTAGTAATTGCCTAAATACCTGATTGGTTGGAATTATTTTAACATGGACAATATCTTGAACTGAGTACCATGTGACTGTTGTTTTGAGGCATCAGATTTAGAGTGAACAGAGAAAAGGATCCTTCTATATTATCTAGCATTGATGTCTATCCATACATCTAATATATGCATTGGGCTCTTTCTGGCAAACTAGAATTTCAGTAGTCTTCAGTAAGATTTATGTCTTAACTCGTTGGTGGGACTTTACTTAATTTGCAACTTTCGTGGGATTTGTGTACAGACATTCTTAGATGCCGACATTAATCAGGATGGAAAGATCGATATATCTGAATGGCAAAACTTTGTCTCTCGTAACCCATCATTGTTGAAAATCATGACCCTCCCATACCTCAGGTATGTGTTACCAATGTTACAATCAGCATATTTGGAAACCTTGCTCATCCCATTTTGTAATATGAATTATGCAGGGACATAACAACAACATTTCCAAGCTTTGTTTTTAATTCTAAAGTAGACGAGGTTGCCACGTGATTGGGGGAGTATGTGATGGACTTAGCATGTTCATGGATTGGATTGAAAGACAATTTTTTGCATGATTTGTTGACATTGTCTTTATGTGAAGAAAGTATGCCTAGTTTTTGTTGTAAGGCTAAAGCAATCAAGTTTGCAAAGGGTAGCAACTAAATATGATTAGGATTGCTAGTTGATTACTTGATTGTCTAGGCATTTCTAATTAACCTTTTCAGGTTTTTTTAATCCTTGATTTGTAGTGAGGTAATATCAGTTCACGTTACATGAAGTTATATAAAGTTTTTTTAAGGTAAAATTTGTAAAATTCCTAAATAAAAATAATTTAATAAAAACTTTAGTAGAAAATTTAGCTCAATATATTGATAAAATTCAGTGAAAAAATTAATAATATATAAAAAATAAAAATATCGATTATAATTTAAACTGATCAATGTTTATTGAAATTGATTTTTTTTTAAATTTACACATTTGATTATAACAAAGCTTTTTAATTTATCGATTTTAATTTTAATTTAATGTTTTTCTATAAACCTTCCATGAATCTCACATAAATAATTTCATTTAATCTTGTCGTTTTTATTTGGTTTAATTGCTCGAATACTGGCTTTAATACATTAGAAATTACTTAGTTCTAAGAAACGAGGATAAAAGGAAATAAAAATTTTGGATAGGATAAAGGAGGACGGATAAGATTTCAACGATCGGGTCGGTTGGACCTATTATAACCAACTTACAAGTTTGAGTAATCCATCTCCATGGTGGTTTTGTTGACTGCTTTTGACATGGTTTTTATTTTCCTGAGATGGCGTTTGGCAAGAATTTTGTCATTAAATTCAATTGAATTTGTTTGTTTTGAAATTATCACTTTCCCCAGTTTTAAACAATCGATCATAATGTTCTATCAAATTCATTTTGAAAACATCTTCAAGGTAAAAATTTGTTTGCAAGTAGACCTGTCCCGGAATTTTCGCTCATTAACTTCCAAACTGAGCTGTCACAAACTGTCCTAGCTTGGTCCTGTCCTCCCCAGCGTGAAACATCAACATTTATTTGACTTCCTATGGACAATAGCCATGTAATAATAGACAAACCGGAAATTTCTGGTCCTGTCTTGGGAAAGCTCTGCCGCATGCTAAAAATCCATTAATCGTTCCACATGCACAAGTTAAGGCTATGAAGCAAAAAGGGGAAAATAAGGTAGGATTCTACTGCTGTTAAAACAAAATTTACTTTTTGAATTTATCAAGTTCTTTACTTTCAATCCATTTTTGTTTTCCGATGCAATCATTATTCATGAGCTTGCAACCTGACATGTTATGAGAAACATCAGCTTACCAACGTGTTGAAAGCATCAACAAACCTTATGATGTCCCTTGCCAAATTCTGCATTATTGATAGCTTCTGCACATGCAACGGCTGCGTTTTGACCATAGAAATGCACAAATCCATAATCCCCCTTTCGGGCCGATGGCTTGCATGCCAAATTTCTTTACCGGCTTCCTCACATCAACTGTCTCTGAATGTGTGTTTCTATAATACAATTTTCTGACAACAATTAGAATCATGTGAATTCGAGTTATAACAATCAAGTTCAACTTTTGTAACAATTTTATCTCCGAATTCAACGTGAGGATAAGCCAAACAAATTTTAGCAGACCCATCTATTAGGAATCAAGGCATGTTCCGATTCCACTTTGTCAAGAATCAATATAGTTTGATGTCATTTATAGTAAGAAGAATCTAAAATACAAAATCTCCATTCTTTGCATATGTAAATAGTACCATATACATGATTAGTGACAAATTCTTTACCATCCATATTTACGTTTACAAAAATATTAAATAGCAACAAAAATCATAAAGAACACCAACAATATACATGGTTTGGCATTATGCCTACATCCACAGGTACTACAAAGAAAATAAATACTATCAAAGAATGGAGATTACAATAACTACACTAACCCCAAACATGTACCATTTCAACAAGCATTCACTCTCCAGGATTACACAAGTGTTTCCTATTACCCTAATTTAGACACTACAAATCCTAATATATACCAACACTCTTGTACTACATGGCACACCTTTTTTGACACCTCTTTGGTGCTTTCACCAAGCTCTTTAAGCTATTATCGGGCACCCAATCACACTTAATTTCTGCATCTTCAACTTATTTATAAATAAAATTTTTCGTATTCACTATAACAATCTATGGTTATTGTAGCGAAACGGTATTATAACATGCAGTGCTTATGTCAAAAGTTATTGTACCAAAATTTTCACAAAATTCTAGATATTTTGTCTTTTCAATTTTTCAACAGTACTGTAGTAGGCAACAGTACTATAACCAGTAAAAAATTACATGTTTCACATTTGCTAGAATTTTTTAGTCATTTCTCAACAATTTTCACCTTAACTTCAAAATTTTTACCAAGCCAATTTCTTTGAGACAAAATTTTCTTATCATTAAAGAAAAAACATAGAGTTACCTTACTACCACATACTATAATGCGCTCTACCTTCTTGCTAACACCTGGTCTAACTATGCAAACAACTCTTTGACTATCTTATTAATCCTACACCATATCATCACGTTGTCTCTAGTTCGTCGAAAGATTCAACACTATACCTTTTAACACTAATGTGTACTTATAAGCTTTACCGTTTCTACTATCAAGCTTACTATCATCATTTGAACCAAGAAACCATAACAATGTTCATAAAAACTCAGACCAATCCTTGGAGTTCCAATAACTTTTGCATTAGATGGCAAACCAACTAATAACATAGTAAGAAACAAGTAGCTTCCACTCTATCATGTACCAAAAAATATCAAGAGTAAAATTAACATGGCATATTTTGCTCTAACCAGAGAAAATCATTCCATTATGCAACCACTGTGTTACACCAATGTTTTGTCAGCAGTGTGATTTTTCACAACACAATTCATGCAAAGTTTTTCTCCCACCTTTTTGTAAACAAACCATGGACTTAGTGCACAATTAGTAATCTTTCCACCAAATCCAAAAATTGTCTAAAGCCATGGAATGCAAGTATTTTTCTTATAAAACAATTGAAAACTTGTTCAATAAATCATCTTGTCCTAAAACTTCACACATGAACACACAAAACTCGAACTTCCCATGTCTTCATGACTAGTAAGACCTAACCTCAACTGTGATCAGTCACCAACATGAGTTTCGCATGGCATAGACATACATGATGCATCCATTAAGATAACTCCACCTCAAGCAATAACATCAAAATCAATTTAAAAGATTGTTGTTGCCGCATTGTTTGGTTTATGTAATCTTTATTCTCACCTTCATTGCTGACACCCATTGTCGGATACAAACCTCTCTAATCTCAATTTAGACTTTGCTATTAACATTATGTTCTGTGCAAAAGAACCTCCAAATGCACCCAAGATATGTTCGGGCTCTGATACTACTTGTTAGAAATTAAGGTATGCTGTAATCCTGCTTTGTTATGATCAATATAGCATGAGGCCGTTTATAGCAAGAAAAATCTAAAATGTGGAACCACCATTCTTTGTATATGTGAATAGTATCATATACAGGAATAATGACAAATTTTTACCATCCGAATCTATTTTTACAAAAATATTAAACAACAACAGAGGACATAAAGAACACCAATAATATACATGGTTCGACATTATACTTACATCCTTGGGCACCACAAAGAAAACAATTATTATCAAAGAATAGAGATCACAATAGCTACATTAGCCCTAAACATTCACCATTTCAAAAAGTACTCACTCATTGGGATTATGCAAGTGTTTTCCACCATCCTAAGATAGACAATACAAACCCTAAAATATACCACCACTTTTAAACTACATGGTACACGTTTTTTGACATTTTTTTTATGCTCTCACCAAACTCTTTAAGCTATTTCAGGTATTCCAGGTACACTTCAGCTTCTGCATCTTCAGCCTATTTATAGGCAAATTTTTTTGAGCTCACTATAGCAATTTACTATCACTATAACAATCTACTATCACTATAATGGTGGTGGTACTATATAGCATGTAATGCCCATGTCAAATGTTGCTTGGCCCAAATTTTTATAAAATTCTAGATATTCTATCTTTCCAACTTTTCGGCAATACTGTAGTAGGCGGTGACATTGCAACACAAGTAAAAAAAAAATACATGTTTCACATTTGCTAGAAGTTTTTAGTCATTTCTCAACAGAATCAACTCTAAGGACAATATCTGACTTTCAAAGCTGCTCGTTTCAAAAATAAAACTCAATTGAATTAACATGGGGCTTCTAAATACACCACCCAAATTTCTCTTTAAACCCCATCAATTTTCTTCCAAAAATACCCACGTAACAATATCAAATTTATCCTTTAATAAATTACAATTTTACCCTCTTCTTTTTCTTTCCCTTTTCTTTCTTCTTCTTCTTCCTCTTTCATCATTCTTTCTTTTATACCCAATCAAATTTAGGTTTTTTTTTATATTTTTGAAAATTCATTTATGAGAATACAATGTAATTTTTGAAAATCTATTTTCAAGAAATTCGAATTCTGTGAAATTAATTTCATAAATTCTAACATATTTTCACATGCATTTAAATAAAATCAAACGAAATAAATTTCAAAATATTACCTTTAATCAATAGAAAACTAAAAAAAAAAAAAGTAATTTTGGAGTAAATTTGATGAATTTAGGGTTAATTTGAGTTTGCGATTGAAAAAAAAAAAGGAAAAAGAAAAAAAATGTTGAGGGCATGAAGGAAAAATCAATTGTTGAGGGATGAGATATACTTGTAAAAATAAGAAATTTAAGTTTAAATTTAGGGTGTTAAAGTGTATTTAGTAGTGAGATATATAGAGTTAAAATAAAGGTGTAAATAAATTTTCCGAATTAAAATCAAAGTTTAAAAAAAAAAGAACATCTTTTTGTTACTTGGTTGATGAGATAAGATTACAACTTTAAAGGCTAGTGTCGGAGTGTGACCGTGGTAATTCCACTTATAATATCGTGTTTCAATAAAAGATGTAGGGCCAAGATAACAAATTAGATTGGTACAGTCATCATCCATTAATCCTCCCTCTTCACAAAATGGGTTAGCAAACATACGTCGTGACCGGTAAATCCAAATCAGTAAACCTCAAATGTTCAATCATGACAATATATTTTACTGAATACATTTTTGTTTTTTATATTATCAACTTTTTCGAGGCCTGCCCTGGTTGGTCCACCTAGGCCTCTGCCACATTTGAGATTCTCCTCTTTTCATTATC